GCGCAGCTACATCAAATCCCTTGCACGGTAGAAGTCCTTTGCAAAGTACATTTGCCCTCTTCCGTATGAATGGGCTCTCCTGATGGAGAAGCAGTGCTCAGGATAAAGGTGTAGGGAGAAAGAGTCTGGGATAAGCATAGTAGTCTGGGGGGATAAGTGAGGCCTGGCCCTACCGACAACACAGCTCACCAGGCCGTTAACTACGTCCATTCCCCACTTCCCAGGTGGGAAACAGTATACACATCTCTTCTGTCGAAGAGACACACCTGCATGTTTCACATCCCTGGTTTCCTGGTGCTTTTCTGTGAGCTCGAGGACTTCGTGCCCTCTACGCTGCTGCGGCCAACAAATAAGAAACAAAATGCGTACCTCATGAGCCAGTTAAGCCAAACCGTTCTTTTATACGTTTGTTCATATTTTTGTGGGGGTGCCACGGTGCCTGTGCGCCACGGTGCCTGTGTGCCACGGCGCCTGTGCGCCATCATATCTGTGGTCAGAGGACAATGTGCAGGAGTCAGTTCTCTCCTTCTACTATGTGAGTCCTGGAGCCAGAACTCAGGTCATCAGGCTTGGTGGCAGACCCCTTTACCCGCCGAAGCCACCTCACTGGCCCAAGTCACGTTATTTAACACATGTATCGCCACCTGGACTTACGTTTTGATGTAAGAATAGTTGAAATCAACTCTCAGACTTTCCCGTGCTCATACTATCTATCATTAGTCACAGTGCTGCTCCAAAGATCTCTTAAACTTAGTTTTCTCCTGCTTTGACCAGCATGGCCCCACGTGCCCTCCTGGCCCTCGGAACCACCATTCTAGACTCGGCTCCAGAGTTCAGCCTTTTACCGTTTCACGGATATATGAGATGGTGGCCTGTCTGTATGTCGGAGCCTGACTCCTTTTACTGAGTACAAGATTGTTTCCTGGCAGTGTTGTCTGGAGGCTTTCAGAGAGGAAGGCTGCTTTACTTCAGGCAGGAGTCAGGAGGTTCCTGGGGGGTGTAAATCTCAGCTCACACTCTAACACCCCATCCTATCAAAGCTGAGACCTTGGGGCGAGTGAACTGGATATGATGTACACTCACGGTGTGCAGCTCAGGGAGACAGTGGCCTGCAGCCTCCCTGGGCCCACTATCCCTGCCCATCCATGGCCTTCTTGTCCTGGCTCCCTGTCCACTACACTGGCCTCCTTATCCTTCCTGCCTGGGGTCTCCTTGCCCATGATTTGTCTTGTTCTTAGGGACATTCTCAGAGCTGTTTCTTCCTTCTTCCAGGAAGCTTGCAGAAGTCTCCCAGAAGTCAGCGGACCCCAGTCCTTGTCATCCTTCTGTTACCAGAAACAGCTGCTCTTGGCGCCCTCGCTCCCAGGGCACTGCTCATCCATTCCCACTTTGGCTTGAGGAGGATTCTGAAGCTCCATGCTGTGCTCAGCAGGGTCTCAGCATCCCTGACTAGGGTGTGCTTGGTCCCTCAGATTCCCCAGGGTCTTGATGTCGGGGTGGGGGTAGGGTGGGGTGGTTGGGGGGGGTCTTCATTTTCACTGGTGGCAATTTCTGTGTTAGCCTGAGGCTTGACAGGACATGGGTTGGCCTCCCCATTCTGGGCCATCTGAGGAGGAAGAAAGACACAGTGGGTCCCCTTGGGCTCCTAGACCTGGCAAGTCAGAAAAGCAGGGATGGGCTGCCCAGGCACGTAGTCCGAAGGTCAGATCTAGTCCCGATCCCACTGTAGGGGGACACACATGCACTCTGAACTCACTTCCTCCCACCCCTCTCCTGCCATGAGCCACTCAGGCATCCAGAGCCAGAGGAGGTGGGAGGCCGGGTGAGGGTGCGTGCCATGCTGGGTGCAGCTGGGTGGAGATGGCAGGAAGCATGGCAGAAACTGGCACCCCCATTCCAGGTGCCTAGCCCTGAGGACCGGAGTGGCTGGCTCTGGGGCAGGTAGACTGTCAGCCCAGCTGAGCCACACGGAAGCCAGAGGCAGGGCTACAAGGACCTGCCTGCTTGCAAAGCAAGGAAAGCTGCTGTGGTACACAACCCAGCAGCAGAGTTGTTGGTTGTTTTCGTTTTTAATTTTACTTTATTCGTATATTTACCAGTATGTGTGTGGGGTGGGGGTACTCACGGGTGCAGGTGTGCCAGGCCAGAGGTCAACATCAGGTCTCTCTCTCTACTGTGTTTTTTCAGTCAGGGTCTCACTGAACCTGGAGCTTGCTAATTAGGCTAAGCTGGCTGCCAGAGAGGCCCGGGGTTCACCCATCTCCACCTCCCTGGCACTGGATTTACAGGTATGTGCTGTCACACTTGGCTGTTCACGTGGGCGCTGGAGATCCCAACCCAGGTTCTTATGTTTGCACACTTTACCTTCCGGTCCCTCCTCCCAGCTGCACTGCTTTGCTTTCAACTGACAAGGTAATTTTACATGTTTATGGGGTACGGTGTGATGTCTCAGTGTGCGAGCCGTGTGCCACGATGAGATGGAGGCCACCGGCATATCTGTCAGCTGACGTCACCATTTTTCTACGACAGCCACACTAGGGTCCACTGGACTGTTGTCAGCCTTGGCTGTCCTACTGTGTTTCTAAGAACACCAGGAGCAAATCTCCCCTCTAACTGCTCCCCACACCCTTCATCCACTCCCCCCAACCCAGACACCCTAGCCAGCCAGCCCCTCTCCCCGTCATCGCCACAGTGAGATCAGCTGCTCAGCTTCCACATGTGAGCAAGAGAACCTGTAGTGCTTGTCTTTCTGTACCTGGCTCATTTCCAGGAACATGGTTTCCTCCGCTTCATCCCCATTCCATAGATGACAAAAGGCTTAACACTTTAAATTAGCGTATATTTACTTATAGTTATGGTTTCCCAGATGTTCCGATACAGGTGTACCCTGTACTGGACTGTGTTCACCTCTCTTTTCCCTTCCTTCCCTAGTCCTTTGTTCCCCTCAATGCCATGTATGTTTTATATACATACTACATATATATTTTACATATGTGTGTAAAACCTAGCATTTACAAACAGGAGAAAACATGAATCTTCTGAGCCCAACTTTTTGCTCCCATTGATCTCTAGTCTCCTCTATTTTCCTGCAGATGACAAAATAATCACCCTTTTTTAGAACTGCATGAATCCTGTTGTGTACATGACATAACGTTTTCACATACTCCTCTGTCGATAGACACCATGGCTGATTCTGTGACGTGGCTATTTCTGGTGCTTCATTAAATGCAAATGTGTGGGTGTCTCTGTGACGTGTTGACTTCAGGTTCCTGGGGTGTCCATGCAGGAGGAGTAAGGCTAGGTCATATGCTAGTCCTGTCTTCAGTGTTTTGAGGAAACTCCATACTGAAAAATATTTAGTTTTTTTCATGTATGGGTGTTTTGTTTACATATACGTCTGTGCACCAAGTGTGTGCATGGTGCCTTCAGAGGCTATAGGAAGGCATTAGATCCCTTGGAGTTGGAGTTATAGGTGGGCTCTGTGTGGCTCCAAAAGCCTTGTCCCCTGTCTCTCCTAACTGTCACTTGGTTTCCACTCTGCCTTCTGAGCCCTCTCATTGTGAACCAAGGAAACCCCCGCATAGCAGCATAGCATCTCTTGTATGTGATGAAGTTCTGTCTGTCCGGCCCCTTTCTGGTGGCCCTGCTTAAGGGGGAGCTGAGCACTGGTAAGGAAAGGAAGGAGGTACTCCTGTTTTGATCTATGCTCTCCTCCCCGAGGGTCTCTGCGGCTTATTTAGTAAGGCCGTCTTCCAGGCTAGCAGGCAGGTCCCTTGATCTATCGCCAGAGGCAAAGCACTTCTGCTGTGGTTCACTCACTCACTCATTCATTCATTCATTCATCCATTCAAGTCTTCACAGCTACTGTCGATGCTCTCGTGAACCGTCCAGTCTAGGGGAGGGGTATAAATAATGAGCAGAAATGCAGAGTGGCTGCATGTGCTAGATCATGAGATCAATAATGAAGGCAGAGGTGGAGGGTGAGTCAGAGCCCTGGGTACAGGGCGTCCATCTTAGAGACTATGACTCAGGAGGTAGACCGCCTTTAGGGGACATTGAGGCAGAGGCTGGAGGACAGGGAGCCGCAGGTGCCAGGCAGGGTGAGCACCCTACATCTGTTTTCCATATAGCTCTTGTATATGATTGTTTTTCCTTCTTTCTTTTTTCAAAAGGACTTGACTGCAGATGGAATAACAATCTATGGCCATGGCATCCAGAATATGCCTGTTTTAGTCATATTCATATATATATGTATATATATATGTATGTATATATGAATCACTTAGGTGAGCTCAAGAGGCATGCACAGTGCCTTGATGAGGACTCTAAGCTCTTGACAAGTTTTCAGGGCCCCAAGTTGTCACTGGGACAGGCCCCACTGAGCAGGTTTCCCCAGTAAGGGGCCTAAGAATGCCTTGCTCACATATGCACATGTAAGGACGAAGCAAATGCCCAAAAGATGCAGCCTAGAGATTCATCTCTGGAGTGGAGAGAGCCATGCCAGCAGGAGATAGCCCATTATTTCCCCCTCTCATCTTGTCCAGTCACACACTTCCTGCCTCCGCCTGACCTGGATCCTCCAAGTAGCTGACACTATGCGAATACCCACTTTGGAAGGACAGGGTCAGCAGATGGGGGCTCACTGGTTCTTCCTGGATCACTTGGAAGGGGCGTTGTTGAGACAGGCACTTCCTGTGGTCTCTTGCTATGAATCAGCTCTGGCTGAGAAAGCAATGTTAGCCTAGCAGGAGGGCTTTCTGGATCAAGGCCATGTCAGGGGTGATACACTAGCTACCCAGTGTATCTTATGAGAGGGACTAGCCTTCCTGTATCAGCACTCTCAGCCCGTGACTGTATCTCAGAAACACTTTGTAATCTTACTCAGCGTGGACCCTCCTTTGGCAAATGATATCTCACTCTAGGCAAACAGGCCAGCGGTATAAAGCTAAGAACTTGAGTAGAGGCTCATCTGTCACTCGTGGTCTTCCTGTGAAGCTGCCATGGAGCACAAGGTGATCTGTGTCTTCGCTATGGTCCTCATGCTGGCCCTCAGCAGCCTTGCCCAGGACCAGGCAGGTAAGACGATGCCTCTTGTTTCCTGCTGGTCACAGCCATAGACATCGGGCCTGGAGACTGTTGTGGCCTGTTATTTCCAGTCTTCCCCTATATAGCCGCTGGTCTGGGTCCTTGAGGGCCATTACCCAGTTTACAAGATGACAAAAGCAAGAAAGTCTGGCGCAGTGGGGTGGGGCCCGGGGACCTGTGAGAGTGTGGGGAGAACAGAGCTTCACAGCTGGGCTCCCTCTTCCCTGGTTGATGCCAATGTTGCACAGTTTTTAGAGCCTCAAGTCTAAGTGCAACATTTGGTGGTTTAGAGCAAGGCCCAGCACTTCCACATGCCCCTGCCAGCCTCTCCCTGGCAGGCAGCCCTGCCCAAGTACTTGTGATTGGACCTTCAAGAGATTCATCCATATCCTGAGCCCCTGGATCCCCAGGATGCACCCCGCTCTGGGATCCAACCCCCTCCTATTAGCCCTGTGCCATCCATCCTGGGGATGGAGCGCCTTGTGACCCGTGACCTTGTCGCAATTGCTTTGCCTGTAGAATGGGAACTGTGTCTGCCCCGTGGGCATCAACAACAGGCGTGCGACAGTGCGACAGTGGCCGTGTGCGCGCCTGGCTGTGACGAGCTTGATTCTTAGACACAGCGCTAAGGAAGAGGGAACAGGGAAGTTTCCAAGTCAAGGATTTCTATGAGCGTGAGAGAAGAGTTAAGGGCTCTCTGCTTACCTTCCAGCACCTTCTGTGCCCCTTGAGTGGGAGCAGGTAGTGGGGTGAGCAGGGAGGAGGAAGTTCCATGTTACCGCCTAGACCTCTCTGCGTCAGCCCATGGCTGGGAACAAGGAGCCAGTCGGGGGTGGGGGGGATGAACCTGAGAGAGAAGCGGCTTTGGAGTAGATGGTGAAGAGAGCAGGGGGGCCTCCCTCTGCTGTCCTGTGCTCTCTCCAGCCCCTTGCCCCGCCCCAGTTCCATCCATCACACAGTCTCCCTGCTTTCCTGTGCCCCATTCCCTGGACCAGGGCTCAACACCTGTTTCTGGGTCATGGTGTCCTTGACCCTGTTTCCATAGAGATGTATCTGTAGATATATAAAGATATATCCTATAGAATATAGTAGCTGCCTGTGCCAATCCTGAAGGGAACTCGCTTTCAATGATTCCCTCATTGGCCACAAATGTATGAGCAGGACAGAGATCTTTAAATCCCGCTATCCCGCTGGGAAAGGGAATTGGAGACCACAGGAGAGCAGAAACACCCCTCCCTCCCCTAGCTGCTGATTCTCAATGACTTAAGGACCTGTGACCCCTGACTATCCTGTTGGGTGGCCAGTGGTCACCTTAGCTTTATAATAGAACCGAAGCTTGGAGACCGGTGGCCCCTCAGAGGCCACCAGCAAGTGGATACCAGGTCCTGATCTTATCCTGAAAGATAGAGCCTGTTCCTCAAGAATGTTTCAGTAGATCCCCACACAAGAAGAACAGCCCAGGGAGCAGGCCCCGATGCACACCCAGGCCTCTGGACTCTGCCATCTGCTTGGGACACCTATTGTCACCCACCCAGCCTCCTCTAGTGAGATGCCCTCTCTGCTTCGTTCAGTCTTATGGTCCTCCACCCCCCACGAGGGCTACTACCACACCCGTGCTTATCCTCCGCGCACTGGGATGATTGCTCTGTGTGGCTCACGTCCTCCATGCATCTGTTAGTCTCTGAATCCAGGTCTAGGGCTGGAGGTTCGGACCCGAAAGGAGTCCTCTTTTACTGGACTGTTTGTCAAATCTGAAGCAAAGATACGTTTTTTGGGAATGCTCACCAGCTTCTTGGCACAAAAGGAAGGGGATGGCAAGACCTCTGTTTTCATCGCTGTATTCTGTCACTGGGCACAATGTCTGGCTTTTGCCAAGCCGGTTCCTACATGTAGCCAGAATGCACATTGCTCAGTAAGTATTTATCTGGCGAGCACAGTTCACCGACCGTCTGCAGAAGTTAGTAAGAGAAGAGTACATCTATCAAGTAGCAGGTGCAGCTGTGCAAGCCTGGGCCCTGGAACGGTCCTCCCCACCCCCACCCCCATGGACCAGTCTTCCTACATCTGCAAATGAGGCCCATGTCCCTTTGCATATTCAAACCTGGCTCCCAGCAGGTAGTGTCCTGTTTCCTTGGAGAAGGAAGCTGCCGAGAGCGTGGACAGCTTCAGGAATCCAGCCCATGACCTTCCTCTGCTTTTGTCTTCACAGTAGAAACATGTACCATGACCCCCCGGGAAAGGGTAAACTGCGGCTTCCCCGGTGTTACTGCCGAGCAGTGCAAGCAAAGAGGTTGCTGTTTCGACGACACTGTCCGGGGCTTCCCATGGTGCTTCCACCCTCTGGCCATCGAAAGCCCTCCGGAAGGTATGGTCACTTCTCAACACGGTACGGGGTGAGGATTTCGTCAGCAGGGAGAACTCCAGGAGACTGTGGGGCCAGTCAGGGTCACTGGTAGGTCTTGGCCTGTCTGGCGGGCCCTGGGTGCCCGTGACATGGCTGAATCCAGGTGGTCTAGAGGTGAAAGGTCAGGGCTGAAAGTCTGGTAAGGGAGGGGCCCACTGTTGCTTGGCAGTTTGTCAAGTCTGAATCCAAGCAACATCCTTGGGAATGCTGATTGGAGCAGGAGGGGCAGGGATGGCAAGAAAATGCCAGGACAGCTTCTCTGTGTGCGTTTCTGTAAGTGGTTGTGTGCATGCGCACATGGGCATGCATGTGTGTGGAGGCCAGAGGTCAACCTCATGCGTCATTACTCAGGAGCCACCCACCTTCTCTCCTGAGACAGGGTCTCTTCTTGGGATGAGTAGATAGGCTGGCCAGCAAGCCTCAGGGACCCTCCTGTTTCCATCTCCTCAGTACTGGGATTATAAACCTTTCCCACAGTGCAACTTCTTGTGTGGGGCTGGGGATCGAACTCAGGTCCTCTTGCTTGCCAGGTGAGCACTTTGCCAACTGAGCCATTTCCCCAGTCCTGATAGTTGGTGTTTCACGAAGAGTTTTCCTATCGGCACTTTGAGTCAAAGCTTCCTACAGTTGTTTAAAGAGAAAGACAACACTCATGAGGACCTTTTGTTGTCTCTTCTCCCTGTAGAGGACTGTCCCTTCTAGAGTCCACCTGAGAGAGCCGGTTACACCGAGACTTGGCGCCACCACTCCACCTGGGCACCGGAGCCATCTGGCCCACCCACTGCATATACACCTGTTCTGTGGCTGGATCTGGCCTGATGTCACAGTTCAACCTCTCTGACTTTTAGAACTCAAATTCGGCCTGAGAATTAAAAGAGATGAATGCTATTCTGTGCTGTTCATTCTTTTAAAAAACCACAAACCATTTTCCTCTCTTTGACAGTCACATGGAATATTTTGGGTACTAACTCCTTGTCATGGATCAGCCCTTAGCTGGAACTGTGTAGGGGAGGCAGGGGTGGGCAGCTGGGAGAATGAAGCACGTGAGACACATCCTGCAGCTGATGCAGGGTCGTTGCCTGTCGTTGGTGTTGAGACCCAGGACAGAGGTCTCAGGGTCATGCTGAGGGACCTCACAGGCTTCCAGCACAAGTGCTCCATGAGTGCTCCTCAGACATCCAAGGCAGGAGGGACTGACCAAGGGCTGAGACCCATCTTCCAATGTCGCTAGAGTTACTGTAAACTCTAACAAACCAGGATCAGCCTCTGGTCCTCAGGAGGACCATTAAAGACACAACAATGAAAAGCAGAAGGAAAGGGGTCCATTTAATGTGGTCCCACTGGGAAGAGGAACAAAGAGGTCCAGTGGCCCTCCATCCCTAATCCATCTTTGGGATCCTGAGATAAAGTTTAGCCTTAAATAGAGGGCAAAAAGTATGCACAGCTAAGCAATACGGTCAAATTGTGGTTCCATCCACATTGTCTGGGCTCCAGTTTCTCAGGCAAGATGGTCTGACAGGTGGTAAATCTCTTCCAAGGAGACAAGTTTCTCCCTTGGCTAGCACCAGGCTTCAACCTTTCCTTCCCCCACATGAGGTTCCTGGGGGAATTCCAATTCCTTGGGGGTGTATGTCTCAATCTGGTAACTAATGTGATTAAATCACTAGCAATCCTCTGAATCAGCTTATTGATCAAAGGAATTTATTTTGGGGTAAACTCACAACCACGGGAGATTTACCTTAGGGTCTGAGAAAGCTGAAAACTGAGCTATGTCTCATGCTGAACAGCTTGGTCCAAGATCTCAGCATCCAAAACCACAAGGTAGCCAAGATAGGGGGCATATGTGCATTGCAGGTCTTAAGGGTCCATGGTGGCCATGCCCCAGGGGCAGGTACCTCAAGGTCTTAGGCATGTGTAACAGATACAGCTGCCTTGCTAGGGGTGGTGCTTCAGGGCATGGCTCAAACAGCTACACACTACCTCTCCCCCTTTTGTCTAAATAAGAAAATAACACAAAACTATATATAATAGGAATGATTGTCAAGGAGAAATAAAGGTTAATGACATAAACAAATGGAACTACAACCAACAAGAGCAACATCAAACAAGAGACACATACTAAAATCCAGAGATGTCCAGAACATAGGTAAATAGTATGTTAGAGAGATCATTTCAAAAATCTGTCCTATCCCAAAGAATCTGAATCTAGTATTTAGTATGTTCTAGCTAAGATACAAGAAGATTGTAACTGTAACTGTTAGTCTTCAACCCCATCAAAGACCTGAGAAGGAATATAATAATACCTGAGAAAACAGGAAATGCATGCAAGCAACTTTCGGAAATCTTCCGAGAAAAGACAGAGACAGCTGACAGCCTGGACAGTCACCTAAAGTTTCTCAGCACCATTGGGGCATTCGATTTGGCTACCTGACAGAATACCTGACAGACCATTTTCAGAAGCAGGAATTTTGAAAGACTATCTTACCCTGTCTTGGTAGAGTTCAGTAGTCTCTTTTCCTTGTGTCTTGCTAGTCCGGAAAGGACGGCATTCGTACTGTCAGCAGTCGAGGTAAGGGCAGGTCTTTGCCCAGCAAGCCATTATGCACCAGAAAGAAGCCAAACTTCCAAACTGAGTGTCTTAAAAGCCCAGCCTTCTCTCGGGATCAGATTGGTGCTCCAATCGTGTCGTGTCTCACGTCAACAGAATTCTAAGTTATTTAAATGTTACATTCTTTAGCTCTATGAACTGTTTGAAGATTACCTATGTATCTGTAAATCTGGACAACCTAACTAACATAACTATAGAGATGACAAGCATGGGTGATTATAAATCTGTAAGTCTTATCTACCTAAATAACCTGAGGACTAAGGCTTCAATATAAACAAGGTAAACAGTCTGTAAACAAATGTACAGTAAAAAGACAATGACCTCAAAATTGTGACAACACACAAAATGTCTTAAACAGAGGCAGAAATGTATAGTGCAATATGCAATGTGACAACAATCCTAAATATGTATCATATATAAAATATCCTAAACAGAGGTGGAACATACATACAGTATGACAAATATAATTTTACATTTGTATCAATATACAAAATATTTCAAATAGGAGTAGAAATATATGTACATTATAACAAATACAGTTCTGTATTTGTATCAATACACAAATTATCTTAAATAGGAATATAAAAATAGTTTTTTAAAAAAGATTTATTGATTTATTATGTATACAGTGTTCTGCCTGCAAGTATCCCTGCAGGCCCAAAGAAGGAACCAGATCTCATTACAGATGGTTTTCAGCCACCATGTGGTTGCTGGGAATTGAACTCAGGACCTTTGGAAGAACAGCCAGTGCTCTTAACCTCTGAGCCATCTCTCCAGCCCTATAAAAATAGTTTACATTTATATCAATATACAAGGATTCATAACAGTGCAAATTATCTAAGGCTGATATTGTACTAAATTAGTTTACTAGTATATACAATAATCGGCCTTAATGTCCTATACCTATTCACTCCCCTTTTTCTTTTCTATATTACTAAGAATATAATACTATATTCTATAGTATTAAGGGCATCTTTTTCTTAGAATTGCTTCCTGCTGTTTAGGGGGCGACAGTATCTCTGTGGGGTCCTGTAAGAAAGCTCAGATAGTTAGGTCTCAATTGAACTAACTGTAGATTCTACAGCTAGTCTCAGAGTAGTGGGTAAAGTTTTCTGAGATTCTGGCTAGAAGTGTAGTATGATGGACCATTTCATCTTGGAACTGTCCTGGAGAGTTTTCAGTCCAAGGTTGATCATTGAGTAATGTTCATGAGTCCCATGGCATCATGCTGGACTGGGTAGAGTCATTGTTGTGGGGCCCCATCTTCCTTCTGGAGATTTCAGAGCTTGCTGTTGGAAAGACTTATATTTTATTATGAAAAACTTGAACATTTTTAATATCAAAATGGAAAGTTTGGATTCATTTTGGATAGAGAAAGAATCCTTCAAAAGCAAGGACAAGCATGGAAAGAAATAGAATCTTAACAACAATGGTCCCTAGATTATTGGTTTTCTTCTATCTCACACCAGTTGGCTCTTCTAATATGAGACAGAATTTCCTGGTTTTTTCTTTAGCAATATGCTTGGGTTTAGAGAAGGAGAGAACCACATTCCAGCTCCAAAACCAGCTTGATTTATAATTAAATTGGGACCATAACTTTTCTAGAGTTAAAGAGATATAGATGTTAGGCAGTGAGATTCCTGGAAGATGGGTATTTCTATTCCTATAAAGACAGAAAACAGAACCCTGCTGCAACCCTTGTTTGTTGAGTTTTTCTTACAACTTGTAGAGATGTCACATTGGTGGATGAGTTATTACTTGTTCTCCTCAAGGGATTTCTCCTGTTTGTATCAAATTTTTATTAATTTTGTTGGTATTCATAGTTTTTCTTCTCCTGTAGAAACAAAAATAATAACCTCTTCCCCAATGTAGGACATATCCTGGTTTCCATTCTGAGGTCAACACATCTTTGAAGTAAACAGGTTGATTTAGCTCAGAAGTTTTATTTGTCATCCAGTGTCTCTCCACAGCTGTTGTCCATTTCTCATCAGCATTGAGAAAATTCAAGGTTAATAAAGCAATATGCAATCTATTTCTAGGGTCATTGTTACCTCTTTCTGTTCATTTAGCATATCCTTTAAAGTTCAATTAGATCTTTCTATGATTGCTTGGCCTGTAGGATTGTGTGGTATACTTGTAATATGCTTTATATTGTAATTTGCAAAAAACTGTCTCATTTCATTTGAGACATATGCTGGGGCATTGTCGGTCTTAATTTGTACAGGTTTTCCCATGATGGCCATAACTTCTAATAGGTGTATAATCACAGAATCAGTCTTTTCAGAACTCATAGGAGTTGCCCATTGAAATCCTGAATAGGTATCAATGGTATGGTATACTTTTGTATAATATTTAAGGGTTCAGCCTTAAATTTATACAATTCCAGGGGCCCAGAAGAGATGCTACCATCAGTGCAGGAATAAATCCAGTTGCTCAGAGCTCTTTCATTCAATTTGTTTTTTGTCAGTCACCATCATTCAAGCACCAGTTCAACTCTCTCCAATCTCTCCTTTCCTTGGTTCCTTTCCTTCCTTTTCTCCCCTTCTTCTGGGACTGGTCTATATCCTATCCCAAGCAGTAACACCTTGTGTTTTGAATTCAGCACAAGATTGTAAGGGTCCCCCACTAAAGGCTTCCTGGCAATTTTATTTGCAACTCAAAAGGGGAGAGATAAGAGTGGAGTCAGTTAGCAGTTGGGATAAAACAGAAAAGGAATTTATGTGCTATAAATATATCCTTACTGTGGTTACATGAAGGCATTTTGAGTCTATCATAAATGTGTTCAATTATAAACTTACAGGTGATAGGGTAGAGAAGGTCTGTAGATTGCTAAATGTTAAAACTGTCACTTTTTTTTTTCTCTGCCGCCAGTTTCCTGACAGGGCAGGGGAAGAGTATTGATAGCTAGTCGATCTGCATCATAGCTTGAAATGCCTGGTAAGAGAAAAACTCTTTTGATCTAAGAGGTTTCCTTAGTTGGGGAGATTTCAGGCATCTAACAGATGGCCTGGTAGCTATCTGTTCCTTGCTTATCTTTTAAGGCTTTGTTTGGGGTTGACTCTATTTTAGGAAGTAGCTCAAGGGGAGTATTTGCAAAAGGCCTGGAGCTCAGAGGCAGAAGATTCTGTCTATGTGACTATCCAGGTGCTTTGAAATGGAGATTCGCACACACAGGCACATTTTAGGAGAATTATGAGCACAAGGAGTTCATGGCAAGGCACAACTGAATATTAAGCTGTATAATACCAATAGTCCTTGCTGATTGGCTTCCTACTTGA